GGGGACGGTGCCCTCGGGCCGCTTGGCCTGGGAGCACCCGGGTGCTCCCGGGCTGGTGGAAATGCACCCCCGCCACCAGCCGATCCTTGTCTCTGTTCTGTTCCCGGCTCCAGGGGGTGCATGCTGAACCCCTCGTGGGTTGGACGAGCTTTCTGCTGTGTATGTAACGGGTGACATGGGGGTGTCCTTCCCGAGCAGGGGTCACAGACAGTTGCAAGGCTGCTTCCCCTCCTAAATCCTGTTGGGTGGGACCAGGCTGAGTCTGCTGCTTGGAGGAGATCTGTCTTTGCAGCCCCGTGCTCGGAGGCAATCAATCTTTGCAGCCCCCTGCACAACCAGACGCTTCGGTTACCTGCAGCCCCCAGACCCAGCCTGGGCTCTGGCAGTGGTACAGACATAGGGCCACATGCACACGGGAGTGGTCGACTGACCTCTGGCCCTGCTACTGCCTTCCAAAACAACTGCCAAGACTTGTCCTATTGCAGGACTAGTGCTTTACAGTAAAGAGAGGTGTTTATTGGTAGTGCTTTTGGGAGAGCTCTTTTCGCAGAAACCAAAATTGACTTTTGCTGCTTGTGAGTTTAGTTTCCCCCAAAGGCTGTCACGGGGAAGCTGATGAGGGCATAGCTGTTATAATCGTTGTTACAATCAGTGAAACTAACATTTTAGCTGGGAGTAAAACATGAGCATTCTACCACTTATTCTATGCTGATTTCAGCAGTCCTGCAAATGCCACTCCTTCATTGGGACTGCCAACCTATCTAGAATAGGGCATGCTCATCTGCTACCTGGTTTTGTCTGTGTTTTGGCACAGGAAAAGTAGCAATACTGCTTTCTGTAATTGCCAGTTGGCTTCTAAAATTTAGCATAGCTCAAATGAAAGGATTATTCTCTTTTCATGGGTGAAAAAGGCTACTGAACAATTACAGTTTCCCAATCCACCAAGCTCTGGCTTGGGATGGCTGGCCGGATACTTTCACCAATTCAGTGGCTCTAATGTCTGAGGCAAACCTGAAAGTTTAAAAATGGTTGAGATCCAACAGCTGAAATTGAATGTGGTAGGTGATTAGCACATGCTGCTGTCCTCTGTCTTTGATAATAGAACTTTTGGCAGGAGTTTGCACATTGACCTTGTCATCCTGGCTGGATGCCATTGTGGGTAATTGCACTTTATCTTTCAAAAATTTTCAACCCAAGAAATTATTTTTTCTCATCCTAAAATAAATGATTGTAATTGTTATTACGACATGGCTGCATTTCAGCGGTAGATGAATGGCTAGGGATCCATCAGGAGAGAGGTGGTTATGTAATGTGAAGTTACACGGTGAGCCTTTGACTTTACTGCAGTGTAGTTTTATTATTAACTGGTAGTAAAATACCTGTCTTCCATGTGCAGATGGACATAACTTTGCACTTTGGTCAGTTGGTAGTAATTTTTATACAGAAGTAGTGATTTAAATATTTGGCATTTTCTCTCTTTAAAAATATCTAGATATATAAAAGTGACTATATGTATATAACCTGAAAAGAACCTAAGGAATCTGTGTAGTTGAAGGAGAATGTTTTGTAAAAAACAGTAATAATTCACAGAATTTCAAAATGTGAAATAAATTCCTCTGTAAATTACAAGAGGCCTTTCTCTCTGTTTTCTTTCCCATGCTGTCCAAAATATTTCTGTCTGCACCACTGCTTCTTTGTGTTTCATACACAAATGATCTTGGTATCTTCAGAACAGTCATGGGTATTTCTGTGCCAGCCCGGATTTTACTGCACAGAGCTGAGTTGTGGCAGCACATGCCCACTTTACTAGAAAAGGTGCTGTTGCTAATAGCCCCGAAAATATTACGTGAAGTCAGGTTTTCAGATGAACCTTGAAACGCTTCTTTTTAAGCTGTGGAACGTTTTAGCTCTTGGACTTTTAGACTCGGTAAAGCAGGCACATCTTTCTTTTACAAGAAGGGCGTAGGGTTTTTTAAAAATATTTATTGTAATAAAAATGAACCGCAAAAGCATTTAGCTGTCACAGTTTGACTTCACAGTCCTCTATTTCCCTCCAGTAGATGTTTCCACCAGCAAGGGCAATAGAGGGAGCTCTGTTCTGTGCGTGCTTTACATTAGACCCACAAGGTAGTAGGAAGAACACAGGACAATGAATTCTCATTCTGTTAGATGACAAATTACCTTAAATGTGATACATCTGCAAAATGGAAAACTTTTTTTAATGATAAAACTCTACATCTCTTCTACTAATGTGAAACCTATGTGCATCTTGCAGTGCTCTAGAGGAAATCTCAAGTGTTCAGGATATAGAGATACTGAAATACCTGGAGTATGAACCTTTTTTCTGTTGGCAAGCTTCAGGAGAACTTACTTCTAAATAACCATTAATACACAGATGAAATCAGTTGAATTTATGCTTCGATGCTTGAGTCAGTCATTGCATTAGTTTATACATTTAAAGTTGTACTGTGTCTTGACAGTGTCTCAGCTCCTCAAGTCACAGTAAGCAACACTACAGTTTCGGAGGTTCTCAGTGATGTTGAAATACTAATGAACGTGTTCACTTATGTCTTGTCGTGTAGGTGGCCATCACTGCTGAAATACTACAGCCACACAGACAGTGTTAGCTGGCTTGAAGAATACAAAGCACGGCACAATGCTGGTCTAGAGGCCCAGAGAATTGTAGCTTCGTTCTCCAAAAGG